CCCGCGCCGCCAAACTTGGGCTTGTCGCGGCACTCTTGGCACACGCCGCAGTCAGGCGCGCGGCACGCCGAGGAGGACTTGCGCTGGATGAGCGGCAGGAGGTCCTCGCGCGTGCGCTGAAAGTTCGGGTGCGCAAACACGACGTGCTTCGAGTCGCGCTGCGCCGATGGCACCCTGTGGAACTGGTACATGTTGAGCAGCCGCGTGAACGACTGGAAGGTGCGGTGGCGGAAGAACTTGGGGCAGAGCTCGGACGCGAAGCGCGCGGGGTCGAAGATGACAACCTGGAGGCCGTCGTGCGACCAGCCGGCGATCTCGGCGTCGCACACGCGCAGCAGCGTGTAGACCGAGCGCACGAACCCCGAGACCTCGTCGTCCGTGGCCCCCTCCGCGGCCATGCGGGGTGGGTTCCTGTCCTTTGCTGGGGGGTCGGCCGGCCTAGCATTTACATTGCGGGAGAGAGAGAGAGAGAGAGAGAGAGAGAGAGAGCTACGGGATGAGGATCACAGTGGACGCAATCACATGCTATTGGACTTGGCCAGGGCGGGGATTACTACTGTGGAGAGTGGGGAGGAGGCAAGGTGGACGACAATCAGGAGTCTACTTCTCAAAGGTGTGGGGGCGAGGGCGCGACCCAGTGGTGAAAAGTGTGGATATTCAGCAATGCTACAGACAATTGGGGCTTCTAGAGTCAACTGGAAAATGGACAAGTGCAAGTGTGGACAGGTTCACGACGTAAGACACTTCATCTTGGGAGAGGGTGGGTGTCAGGCTAGGGTTGTATGTGCACTGGCAACAGCGGAGCTCGCTGGGGGTCTTCTTGTCACATATATTTCCGGGCTTATCACCGACCGGGTTAAGACTAACCCTACCTTTTCTATTCTATCGGCTCGCTGCGCTCGCTCTAAAAACGAGCTCGCTGGGGCTGCGCCCCATCTCGCCGGTTCACACGTTAGGTTTCATATATATCCGGGCTTTTCATAATATGTGCATGTGCCCGCTGCGAGCACATAAAACGTAGCAGCCAGCACACACACATGGTGTGCTTGTCTGAAATGCGCAATGTATGACGCATCATACACAATACATAATACATAATACATAACATACGATGTGGACTCCCACGTCCCAGTGCGTAATACATAATACATAATACGTAATAC